ACCATGAAGACTGGATTTGAATGCTGAGGTTCGATACACAGGTCCTGTGTATCACTCTACTGGACCGCTTTAGACACTAAGAGGACTGTGTGTCAATGCTGTTTTTCTTCTTAATGTTAAACTGAATGATCATACTCTTTAGATATTAAATACTATAATCAGTGTCTTTCTACCTGATTGTGTTGTTAACTCAGAACAAGAGCCAGTAAAGCATTTGTATACTACTCTGGATGTCTAGTGATTAAACTTGGTCCTTCTTCATCCACAAGATTTCCTCTTTTTCTGTTTGTAGAGTCTCTTGAAAATGCTGTGGAGAGGAATCCCAGGAGGATGCAAAAACAGAAGTGGTCTCCAAAAGAGGTGGCAGCAGTTTTGAGACACTTTAATGCACACCAAGGGGAAAGTGGCCACGATGATAGACTGCAGACAGTGCAAAGCTGCAGAGCATCCTATTCTGGCTGGTCGCTCTTTGCAAAATATTAGAGACTTCGTCAGGAGCCAAGGCACGACTCAGAAGAAAAAAGCACTGCTACACAAATGATGATGAAATGTAATCGAACATGCAATGAGGACAGTTCACAGTTCAACTTCATTATTATGTTACATGTAGGAGCAATGTTTTATTATAAGGATAATTACGAGATTAAAGCTGTTATGTTAGGAGAATAAAGATGAAATCATTCCGGGGGCTGAGGGGTCATTGCAGCAGATAGTTATATTGAAGGATTGGAACTTCACGGATCAAACACTCATAAACAAAACGTTGCTAAAACAGAAACTAACTACCGTTCACACCCGCCGCCCTCTGAGCTGGACACATCACACAGGTGTCCTCTGTCTGCAGCTGGAGGAGAGAGGAGGGGTCAGGGACCGTCTACGAAGTGCAACACTGAATAAAGATATACTCAATAACTCCTCTGTTATAAAGCTATAAAACATCACATTTTAAATCACACAATAATATACTGTTGCTTAAACTACACATGCAACTTTGCGAAAATAGGTGGTTTTAGTAGTTTATTTGCAGTATTTTTTTCAGTGTTGCACTTTGTAGACGGTCCCTGACCCCTCCTCTCTCCTTCGGCTGCAGACAGACACCTGTGTGATGTGTCCAGCTCAGAGGGCGGCGGGTGTGAGGTTGTTTTGATTAAATTGGATTGTGGATAGTTGTTTACCTTATTACGGTAGTTAGTTTGTGTTTTAGCAACGTTTTGTTTATGAGTTATTGATCCGTTCCAGTTCCAATCTGTCAATATAACTTTCTTGAAGATCTGCTGCAACGACGTCTCAGCCCCCGGGATAATTTCATCTTTATTCTCCGAACATAGCGACTTTAATCTCGTAATTATGACTTTATTCTTCTATCTTTTCTTTTGTGTGGCCCTAATCCTCTGTCGTACCAACGTAATGCTGGAAGGAGAGTTATATGTTTAAAATAATAAATATTTAGTCTTAGCTCAATTTTCATGTGAGAAAATGTTATGTGAAAATAACCATTAAATTTGGCTCATTGTTCACTGTGCAATGTGCCATGTGTCCTTTTCTATCAGCTTTTAAAAGGTAATGCTCCAGTAGATGAGCAGTCTTGTAGGGCAAATAGCATTTTGTATTAGTGATAAACCAGTTCGGTCACTTTGCTATAAAATGGTTATCGGTTCTTTTCATATCGATGATGTAATTGCAATTAGCAGTGCTGCAAATATAAGCATTTACTTGCAAATGGATTTAATTCGTCTCGGAAGACCTGCTTGTAGTATACCACTGGAGAGTATTAGAATGTGGTTCTACATTTGCATGAAAACAACAGATTGCAAACAGGAGGCAAGCAATAACCAAACACATTAACATACTTTTAAGCTATATATCTATGGTGCACTATATTGTCTATTAAAATATTACATCACAAATCAGGTATTCCTATGCTGTATACATTTTGTCCGTTTATAAAAGGTTTGTTCTTGTAATGCACAATCCAACACTTGTCTGTGTAAAGTTATGTTCCATTTAATCATGTTTGTCCCTTTAATACACTTCAGTGACATGTTTGTGTGTTGTATAGCTACTGTCCTCACAAATAACAATTTTGTCATGGGCGGGGCTTATGCAGCTCATTATCTGCTGTCCTCATAATTAAGCATGGTGTCAGGTTGTTGTATTTTGAGTTGTGCTGTGTGTATTGGACATTTGAAGTGGGATTTGTGTTGTATGGCTCAAAATAGATTTTTTGATATTCAAAACATCTTTGTAAAGCTAGTGGAAAGGGGTGTCCTTCTAATGAAGGAAAAAACGTGTTTGGGTCAAAGTGTCCTTTTAGTTCACAAAAACCCGTATGTGTGTGTGTGTGTGTGTGTGTGTGTGTGTGTGTGTGTGTGTGTGTGTGTGTGTGTGTGTGTGTGTGTGTGTGTGTGAATTGTTCTTTAAGGTAGGGGTTAGATCATTTGGAGAATTTGCAGTCAAACCGGGGGAAATCTGTCACTTCCTCACAGAGCCCCTCCTCCAACACACATGAACGCGCATGACCAAAAGAGGGCGCGAGATAAGTTTGTGCACAGAGACCCCCGCATTGCTGCTGATGCATTCGTTTGACTGACGCTCCGGACGGATGCGGTAAGCTGACTGATTAACCCCCATTCGAGGCGTCTCTTGGCCATTTTTCTTTTTTGAAAAGGTGGGTAAATGGAATTGCTGTTGACTTAATCAACACATCAAAGAATTAGACAACAAAAGCGCTAGCCCCGGGCTTTTCACATGACACAAAAGGATCTCTAACAAAGGCACTACACAGGAGGGCATTTCACACCCCTCACATCAAAGGATCTCACACCTACGTGTGAATTCAAACCTAGATGGGACATCCACCGCGAACAAAGGGAGGCGGGACTTAGCTCATTAACATAAGTAGGGAGAGGTGTGACCTGTCACACCACCTGTCACTTTTCTTGCATACTAATGAGACGAAAGCGGCATTTGTACTACTACTTACACGTTTTTTTATGAGACTGGGTTGGCACGTCTTGTCTAAAATAATTGATTGTGTGACATTTTGTGGGGGCTTTGACCTGGCTTTGCGTGGCCACGACGAGACTGACACATCCGACAACCCCGGCGTTTTTCGGGGTTTAGTTAATCTACTGGCCTCGTTAGATAGCGTGTTGGAGGAGCACCTAAAAACGGCTACCGTTTTCAAAGGCACCTCAAAGACGGTGCAAAATGAACTTTTGGACTGCATTAAAGTTTAGGAACTGGGGTATTTACTATAGTAACGCAGTGTAGGCGGAGCCGTGACGTCATCTTCAACGAGCGCCCCAAAAAAACAACACAGCCGTTAGCTCTTAGCCCTCTGAGCTCACAGCTCTTCATATCTGTTCAGAAACTAGACAAAAGTTAAACAAGTACAAACCACAGACTGCCTGTGTCATGGCGAATACAGTCACTGGTTTATTTATGTCTGTATAGGCCGTTGTTGTAAGTGTGGACGGTCGGAGCATTTACAACGTTAGCTTAGCCAATCTCCATTTAGAAAACACGCATTTTAAAAGATTTTTCACCTGCCGTCTGTCTGCAGACTTGTCAAAGCATTAATTCATGGTTTTTACTAACCGGTATCAGTATGTTGTTACTTCGGCATCATTTTGAAACGTGTATTACAATTAAATCACGGTCAAATATGTGCATCTTGTTGTAGTTGTAGCCCCCTTGCCAGCGATTCTCTCTCTAGTTTAGCATACTCAGCCCGACTCAGCCTGGTTGTTCCTGGCCCTAGAACCACGATTTTATGGGGCCAGAAAAACTGTGAATTAGGACCCGCTAGCCGGTACTAGGCCAAGTGGAAACCAACCAAAACGGGCCCCGCACGGCTCGGCACGCTTAAAGCGAGCTGCGCGCTGCAGTGGAAACGCGCCATTACATCACCAGAAGTCCTAATTTAAGGGGTCATTTCTCCCAAAAAATGGGTTTACTCACTATATCAACAGCCCCACCAAAAATATTTTCCACCAGCCGCTGTCGGTACCATATGTGTTCGGGGTCCGTCTCTTACCAATGACGTCAATGACGTCATGCATTGTGATTTTGCGATTTACCCGCAGTCTAGGCAGTCAACAATATTCTAATTAGCTTCGGCTTGATGTGGAGATGTGATTTGATGTGTCGTTTGTCCCCCAACTCCTCTCCAAAGTTGAGATATGTAATAAATTACTCAGGGGAGTTTCCTGAATTTTCATGCCCAAAGCCAAGCACTAGGTCCTGGGTAAATTAAGAGGCTGATCTGGGGCACTTTTGTCCACTTTCCCTGGTGCTAGAAACTCAAGTCAGAAATCCCTGGAATCGTCTCAGAGAGTAGATGATCAGTGGGGCCTTGTTTGTACTGAAACATAATGTTTCGATGTATATTTCCATTGAAAATGCTAACCGCTAGCCGCAAAGCTAGCATTGCAGCCACTGCTCCGTTTTCGGAGACTTTGCACACGTTTTTCACAAACATGTTCACATGCTAGGAGTATGGGAGTACTTCCATTCGCTTCGTCTTGGTCTGTAGATGTGATTTGATGTGTCGTGCGTCCCCCAAAAATAACAATCGACAGTATAAACATAATTATGTAAATAACGCAATTTGTGGATTTTACATTGTTTTTGTTACTTTCGTTGCAGTGTCTTAAATGTAATTCAGGTTAACTTCCTGTTTTAAGTTGTTGCTATGGAAACAACATGACATAGAAAAAAGCAATATTTTCTACATATAATAACGGACAAAGTAAAGAATTAAGTGTATGTTTAAATGTTCGGAATTTGACCGTGTATGATGGTCCTCTTGAGTTGCCGTACAGCCAATGGCGTATAGCCATTGCTCCGTTTTCATGTTTTTTTACATGTTTTTCACAAACATGTTCACACGCTAGGAGTATAGGAATACTTCAATTCGGTTCGTCATGATCTGTAGATGTGATTTGCCCCCGAGCACCCCTGGGTAAATTACCGTACAGCCAATCACAATGCGTACAATGCGTGACGTCATTGGTAAGAGACGGCCCCCGAACACATATGGTACCCCGAACACATATGGTACAGACACCACTACTGGTGACAACCTGCCTGCAGCGGAGAAGCAGCAGGACAACGGCTCCATTGTGGACTCCACTCGTCAAGTGAGGACAAGTTGCCTCTGACATTTCTGCTCCTCCTGTGGCGGCGTATCTGGGTTGATGAAGGTCGCATAGTATTTAAGACGCAGAGGAAAAGATGGAGGCAGATTGTAGTAGCAGACCTGACCCCATAGGCGGCGTGTGAGGCTCAGGTTTGGGAAGGCTAAATAACTTGTTTTACCTGACGCTGCCCGCCTCCGGCGTCTATAGAAAAGAGATCAACTCAGTGTGCAGAGTTTAAATCTCTCAAGTCATATTACAGGATAAAGGAAATAAACTGCCGTATGCAGAGAAGACGCCGACGTGTCGCACTTATCATTCATATTACATCATCAATCAGATCATCGATCATATAATATCATTATATCATTATATCATATATTTCCTTATCTGAGTCAGCTTCTCCAGCCGTATCTGGCCGTGCAACACTTACAGTGTCACATACTGTATGCAGAAGTATTATTTTAAGCAACACATTAAGTTGACGAAACACTCGAGTCAAATGTAATTAAAGTCAGATCCACTCGTGTCTTAGATGGGGCAGTGATATCATAAACCTATACGCTTTCAAACACTCGGTCGTTGAGTTATTTTTTAACCAGTTGTTCTGTATTTACCTTGCAGGTGCAGCTCTGTGGCTCGTATCCTGGATTATATGTTTGAGTCATGGATAGTTAAAGCTCATATTTGTCTAATATTAGTTTACTTTTCATTAATGAAGTATGACGCTGCGCTGTCAGCACACTTGTCCCTGTTTGTGATTGGTCAAATGTAGCTAACCCCGCCCCTTTCACGTGAACGCGCTCTCAGCTGGTGAGAGAAACCCTGGCTTGATTTACCGAGTTGATAACCAGCGTCGTAGGACCGCTTAGCGAGATCTCGTTTGTTAGTTTGTTGTTGTTAGTTTGTTTGTTACTCAAACATATCCAGGGTCTGTTGAACTGGCTTCGTAGGGCACAGGTGGCTAGCAGCGCTAATGTCAAAGACACAGACATTATATTTGTATTTTACCAGGATGCAGTGACACAAATATTTGGGAAGGCTTAGCCTTCCCTAGCCTACAGCACCCGCCGCCCCTGGCTGACCCAGTTGTCACATTATTAGGATTTGACCGTTTCCATAAAACAAAACATTCAACAACTGTCTCAAGAAGGACCTCAGATCAGTGTCTGCTGCCTAAATTAAATCCATGCCTCGTCTTTTTCACCTATACTCGATATTGCAATTTTTTTAATAGAAATTGTGCTGATCCCTTCAAAAGTTGACAATTTGCTAGATTAAGTGTGCTGTTGAAAACACATAGCATATCAAATCGCGATGTCGATTTAAAATCGATTAATCGTTAAGCCCTAATTAAGAGACCACTCCAAATTGTTCTTAAATCTCAATCTCTACACGTATGGCAGCCATTCCATTCCAGTGTCTGTTGAATTCCAACACAGAGAAATATTGCCAGTAGTTAGTAGAATACATATAAATAGTAAAAAACAGAGAAACTGATTATTTTGCAGTGGTCTCTTAATTTTTTCCAGAGCTGTATAAATTGGATCTCTATTAACTTTGGTTAAAAATGTGTCACCCTCAGGATAAATCCTACTGACGTCGTTGATAGTTTCAGTTTTTTAACATCATCATCTGTACAACATTTTTCATGTGTCATACATTTTAATTTATGACCAAATACCTGCGGAGTTCATGACCTTCCATTCCCAGAAGCCTCAGCTGTACAGTATGTGTTTACTGCTTATGAGCAAGGCAAGGCAATTGAATTGATATGGCACCTTTCAACACAAGGCAATTCAAAGTGCTTTACAAAAATGAAAGACATTGAGAGCATTAAGAAATAGTGCAGCAGAAACACATTATAAAATGGCATTTAAAAACAGTTCTTAAAAAGCAAAGAAAAAACATAAAAGAAGCTAATGTACCAAATACATGAATACAAGTTACAGTGCAGTTTAAGATATGAATATATCAATTAAAAGCAGCGGTAACAAGAAGAGTCTTCAGCCTGGATTTAAAAGTAGTAAGAATTGCAGCGGACCTGCAGGTTTCTGGGAGTTTGTTCCAGATATTTGGAGCATAATAACTGAACGCTGCTTTACCATGTTTAGTTCTGACTCTGGAGACAGAAAGCTGACCAGTCCCTGAAGACCTGAGAGATCTGAATGGTTCATAATTTAGCAGAAGATCAAATGTATTTTGGGCCTAAACCATTCAATGCTTTATAAACCAGCAACAGTTAGCCATTAGCATGCTAACACACTAAGAAAATGGATATTGTAGTGACCACTGTTTATCATAATTCACTCATGGAACTACAGGTTGGGGGTATTGTTCCGCACAGACACACATGTTGACTGTACCTCCTGTGTACCTACTGTGTGCCCTCCTTTCTCTTCCCGGACTTCAAGCCGGCAACATGTGGTTTTCTGCTGCTCAATAAAAACAACTTTGCACCTTCGATGCACCGCCTCCGACTCCCTTCTACACTACAATATCGAACATTGTAAAAATGATACCTGGTACACATTAGCATGCTGATGTTGTGAGTATACCGCCACCATGTAGCCCCTTAGGGCCAATCCCAATGTATTCGTTTACCATCTTCCACATGATGAAAGTATTGAGGTACAGTAGCTCCCCGCGACTGCTTCATGGATATATAAAGAGAACTTCGCCGTCTCCATCTAAACAACGCTGAAGAAATGTCAGGTCTACTCTAGCAAACAAAAAAACAAATGGGCCGCTTCATCTGATCAATTCACCGTTTATCAGACAACAAAGAATTAGCTAACAAGGTTCATATCCCTCACTTCCTACCCCTTGGAGACAACTTCTAATTCCATGTTGAATTAAGAATTAACATTAACTCAGCTCTGCATAACTGTGATCGTCGATCATATTTAAAAAGCAATATTTTGTGTATTTAGTTTTTGTCAAGTTGGTGAATATGTTACTTTATTTGCATGTGCTTTGTGTTTTTATATTTGCATCGTTTTTGAAAGTTCAGCGCCTTTCAGCTAATGGAAGTGTAGAATATACCCAAAATGATATATATATATATATATATATTTATATATATATATATAAATAAAAGGCCAGTTTTAAAGTAAGTGAATACAAAATAAAAAAAAGGAAAAAAAAGACGTCTGGAAAGAAACTACTTACATCTGTGGTTTTGTTGCAATACAGTTGAATTAAGGATTATATTGCTTTCTTGTTGTTTTGCATTGATGGAACCTTCTTTTGTGTTTCCTGCCTGATCAGGTTTGAAATGAGAGCTGAAGACGTCCTCCGTGGGACTGAAACTGAGTAAATGTTTCATCAAACTTCACACGCTGAACAATTCCAGCTGCTGTTGTCTCATTTCCACGTTTCACTTTGAATTTGGGATTGGGTTTGATTTAATTAAAGTTTAGAGAAGGAGCAATAAAACAGTCAAACCGTGAGAACGACTGAAAAACACAAAGTGTGAGTGTCACTTAGTTTGTTGTTTGTACGATTTAAGTTATTCTGAGCCGCAGCGGCCCTCTGCTCCTCTGATCTGACAACACTCTTAAATTATGAGTTCATAAAAAGCTGTCTAATGACACGGTATACGTCTGAGGACTGAACACATCTGTTCATTCCTCTCTCCCGCTGTTTTACAGGTAGAAGAACAGAAAAACATGTCAGCGGATTGATTCCACTCCAGTGCTTTATTTTCTGTTTTCTTTACCAGGTCTTTTTTTTTTAGCTGTTTTGTGTTAATTAACAAAAATAGACATTTAAAGGTGGGGTAGGTACGTTTGAGAAACCGGCTCGAGATACACTTTTTGTTATATTCCATGGAATGCTCTTAACATCCTGTTAGCAATGAATATCTGAAGTGCTTTGACAAAAAATCCATAACAAAATTTCATCTCTGGAAGCCGTAATACTGTAGAAAGCACGACCAATCATCTGAGCCGGCCCGGCTAAAATAACTGGATGGCCTACCTGCCTGTCAGCCTTCCATCTGTGCACACACTTATCTCGTGCCCTCATTGGTCATGTGCGCATTTGTGTGTGTTGGAGGAGGGGCTCTGTAAGGAAGTGGCAGATTTTTTCCGGCTGTGTATTTTCTAATTCTAGCGCACTCGAGCTGGTTTCTCCAAAATTACCTACCCCACCTTTAAAGCAAACCCATCACCTCCACATCGTTCTATTGGATTTATTGTAGGTTGTTCAAATAACTAACTCTAATCTCTTACTAAATGTCTTATTTTAAATTTGAAGAAATGTCTCCTAAAGTGATTAGAAATTAACAAATGGGGACTCGTCCGGGATCTTTGAGACAAGGAGTGAGTTTTTGATTGTTTGTTGTATAGTGTTGATATTGTGTTTGGTGGTGAGCAGTAGTGTAAGTGTAGCATTGGCTGTGAAGTGTCTTACTGTTAACAGCTTCCTCAGATTGGATAGGGGAGTGTCTAGCTGGGCTGAATCAGTCCTTCCTTCAGGCACTCATTTATTATTTTGCCTTTTTTATTTTCGGGGTAATCCTGGGTGGGGATTTGGTCCCTGTTGGGGGCAGGCGTTTCAGGGTTTCGGCCGCTGATGTTTGCCTTTAAAGTCGCCTCGAGCCCGGCACGCTCCAGAAGATAGTTAGGTAAGTTGTGGTAGGCAGGATCTAGGGAAGTTGTGTTATTGGGAAGACTGGTGTCAGTGTTTGTGAAGCGGTAGTGATAGGTTGTTGTGTTAAAAAAAGATGTTTGTAGCCGTGTATGGCTTTTGTTTTGGAGCAGTTTGTGGTGTGACGACCCCTCCTCACCACGTGGGGTGCCGTCTGGTTGTGGGTGTGCTTTGTGGGTGTTCACAGGTTCATGGCTGATGAGTCGCACCTGTGGGAGGATACCTGCCTGATGAGTTGCACCTGGAACGGAAAAAGGATATAGGAGGAGCCCAGCTGTTACCAACATTTAGCGGCACCAGATTGTTCAGTTTCCATTTAATTTGCAGACTATTCCAAGACAGAGGAGCTG